CCTGCCCTCGGCCTTGTCAGTAGAGATGCTTATCAGACCCTGTAACAGTGAGCTAAGTTGGTAGAAAACTAACTATACAGAGGGAGGCGTGTTGTTTTCTGCCTGTTTACCTCTCTAAACTTGCTCAGGTTTCGGTCAGATGAGCTGAAGAAGTGTGGAGGGGAGTGCCTGAAGAGAAAGGAGAGAGGAAAAGATTTGCTCTTTTCATCAGCAGCTGGCAGTTAATTAATCGGTTTATCTCTGTAGTAAAGCTGAAGGGCACAACACTTTAAGCTGTGTGGATAAATGCTCCGTTCTGTATATTGTCCCTGCCCTTGTACAGCAGAAGTACTTGGGGACAAGCCATAATCAGGTTAAAGTAGGAGAGATTATTTGTAACCTGCATCAGGTTTCCCAATCCAGTGAGCTGTGCGGTGATGCTGTGCTGATAGACCAAAGAGGTTGTGCCGGGCCACTCTGTGGCCAGGACTAGCCTCTTTTCGTTGAAGTGCTTGCCAACTTGTTCGGGCTTCCTGGCCTCTAGGAAGCAGAGAGGTAACCTCAGGGTGAGTCCTCGGAGCTGGGTGCAGGGCTGCCTTCCTGGGAGAGCTGCATCCCTTTATTCTCAGGCAGCAGCGAAGGGAATTTGTCAGGTGTTTGTCAGGCTCGATTATGTGCCAAGGACATTTAGATTTGTAATGACACAGACCTTTAAAATATTAGTCTGCTGTTAACACTGTTTCATCTTTACCAAGGTACTGCAAACACCAAGAGCATTACACTGGCAGCCCTAAAGCAAGGTTAGTCTACAGTTGTAAAATTTTGTAAATAATCACAAAGATCTAATGATTTTGGATGAAATCTTAGCTGTACTGAGAATCCTGCTGTTTATGGTTTAGAGGTTTAACTCAAGGATTTTTTTTTTTTTAAATGGAATGCTGAAAATTCTAAGATTTAACTGTATTTGCTTGTGGACAAGTTGGTTTGTGTGCAGGGTTTTTTTTGGTTCTCTAATTGGTTGAAATCTGTCTTTTGTACCTATGTACTCCTGAGCAAGTTGATAATTTGCGAGTTTCACAATATTTCTTTCTGTGCACATATGAGGTGATGAGTGCGTTGTGTCATGCCTCAGTAATATGCCAAATGGATTGGTGTACTGGGGGAGGATATTAGGTACAAGCATCGCTAAAACAATACATGGTAGTTCTTACTCATAAGGATTCTTAAATACGCTTAACAATGTACATAACTTCTTTTAACTTTTACTGCTTTCAAAGCAATTGAAATAAATTAATTGAACTAACTTCATTTGGTTTAATCTAAATTCAAGAATTTTTTTTCTGCTGACTGATAGAACAGATCCTGTTTGTCTTCATTCCCTGGTGATAGCTGGTGCAACAGAGGTGTATTTTAATAACTTCGCTGAGTGGATGCGTGGAGGAGAGAAGAGTAATTTCTTGGGAATCCAAATCAATCATTCTCTGTGGGGGAACTGGTGATAGGATAAAGGCATGTTCAAAAGAATAGAAACTGATGAACTGGACTTACAGATCAGCGTCTGGAGTGAGTTAATACAGTGTGTGAGTTCATGCTGTCATCAGTTGCATTTTGGGGAGTTCTGTGTCTGATGCAAAAATGATATTTGGGAAAATAGTTCTGATTTTCAGTTGGGAAGCAGCAACTTTTGATGGTTTACAATGCTTTTGTTCCTGCCAGATTGTCATCTTCTTCTTTGCCTGTATGAGGAAGAGGAATAAAAATCAATAGCAGAGTAGTTCTATACTACACAAAGAGAAGAGGAGGTTATCGTACTTCATATGGAAAAATCCTGTTAAGGAGACAGCAAAGGGAACATCGAAATGGTCCATGCTTTTTTAGTGAATAGTAAAATGGGTGGAAAGGATAGACAGTGGTATTATATCCTTGTTTTTTAAATTGGCAGTGCACTACCAGTATGCTGCAGCTGATGCAGCAGGATAGTTCTTCAGCCCCAGCCGGCTCCTGACCGTCTTTTTTTCTGGCTGCAGCAAGGACTGCATCAATATAATTACTTTAGTGGCAGCAAGAGATTCCTCTTACCTATACTATTTCTATGTCTTTCTGTCTCTTTCTAGGGTTTTATAAGATCTTCAGTGAACAAATGTTGTATACTATACAGTCAAGCTGTGGACTTTTGTGGAAATTCAGACCTACAAACTGAACATTTGTCTGCCGTGGATTGAATATGCGGTAATGGCCCTGATCAGGGTGGGACATCCAGCTCCGCTGCAAATAAACTGTGTGTCCCACTGCAAGAAGAGCTGAACACTCTTGATGTAAGGCATTCAGCTGAAAATCTGAAGATCCAGTTATGAAACTACTGAAAATTTCTGTGGTTCTTTTGGTAGACTGCATGATCTATGCATCTCATTTATTTGTCAGATGCTTCCTTTTTCTACCCTTCATCTGTCTTGTTTATTTCGATGATTAAAATATTCTCTGTTGTCTGGACAACAGCCTCTATGATACAGCCTAGATGTCAGTGTTTAAGTACTGTTGTAACATAAGTAGCCAATCCACAGTGAGAAATAATGGTAATAAAATGTAAGAAGAGGAAAAATCCTAATAAAAAAATAAATGCAATAGCAAGACAGCCAGTATTATCTCCCCATGTGTTGGGAAACCAAGGTTAATTACTTTCTTGTTAATACCTGTAGTTCTAAAGGATATCCTCATATAATGCCCAAGGGTTCATGCTGAGAAAATGGTAAAGCTGTTTTGTTTTGTTTTTTTTTCCTTAAAGGTGCATCCGTTGGTTCTGTAAGTAAACAAATTTTGCTTTTGCTGCGATGATTAATTCTGTCTGTCTACTTCATTTTTAAAGAATTGAGTTTTTAGCCATATGATGATAATAGTGATGCACAATGCCTGATCAGGACAAAAAGCTGAAGAGCACAGAGAAAGGCAAAAAACCTCCTGAGACCTCCATGAGGTATAGTATCTAATGTCTTACTTTGAACTTCAACCTGTGGAATTTGCACTTGCTGCCAAAGCAGAATGCTTTAATACGAAATGCCGTATAAACATGACAACTGTTACTCTGGTCACGAAGTTTATTTACACCTTTGTTGATTTAAGGCATTCTAGAGAAGCTATAAATTCTTCTGTATGCAAAATGAGGACACTAGGCAACAGTAGAAAACTTTATTTTCTGTCAGCAGCATTGTTGCTGGTTGATCTTCTTTGCTCTTACAGAAGTACTTTTATGTAACTATTAACACTTAGATTTATGCTATTGTGTTTTATCCTAGGGATTATTCTGATCTTAAAAGACTTCAGTCTCTCTTAAACGCTCAGTCAAGAAACCAACAGGTATTTCTCAATAGCTATTATTAAACACATTGTAGAATTGTGTAATTGCAAATAATGGTGATTATGGTTTGTGGCCGATGCTTAGGGTATTGTGTTCCATTATGACTAACCATATATCAAAATCTTTTGTAGAGGTTATATTTTTTTTTTCTTGACAATATTAGACCTTCTTGGTGGAACAAATCACATTTAGAAAAGGTGAAAGAATTAAACTGGCTTGCTTGCCATCCTACTCTGCCATAGTTTTTATTTTAACAGGAAAAAAGTTTGCTTTGTTTTATACCTTAAGCAGGTTTTATCTAGCTATTGTTGCATGTAGTCAAGTAGCCTAACAGATTTGTTCTCTTCCGCAGTGTCATGAGAAGACAGGCTTAGAAGTGTGTTATTTCTAATGTATTGAAGAGTAGTAAGAGATATAAAATAAGCTCAATATTTTAAGTATAAACAATTTGTCTTTAGAGAACAACACTTCCGCTAAAAATCTTCAGGGCATAAATACTGATGCATGAAACTTATAGGACTCAGTAAAATCTTTTCCACGTCAGCTCACTTAGTGAAGCTCACATTTACTGTTTGAAGCAAAGAAAAACCAACACATGATGATGGATGTGAGTCCCTGGAATGCCAGAACATGTTCTCCCTTTCTATTCTGTAAAAAGATAGGACAAAACGACTTAGGGGGATTATCCATGTGAGATTAGAGGTATGAACTCTCTTCCTGGGTGGAAGCGTGGAATTGCTTCTGAGCAGAAAGCTGAAACGCCCAAGTTCTACAACCTAAAAAGAGTATGAAGGCTGTGCAATTGTAGAAGTAGGACAGGTAAGGAGCATGCTTGGTGAGTGTGTGTTGCAGATTCTGATGAGCTTTATTGTTATACATTTTAAAAGACACGGTTCTTTGTATTTTATATATCTCCATGTACTTGTTTTCCAGCCTTGCGTTGCATTGTTTTTCTACCACATCAATTTTGTTTTGCATGAGGTGTGTGTGTGTTTTGTAATGGTAAGTTATAGGTCCAAAGATCCAAGTCAGAACTTTTGCTTGATAACAGTTTTATAGAACTTTAAATGCAGAGTTTGCCTCATGAGTACTGTCCCTTTCCTCTTTAGCTTCCAGCCATACATTTTGAGACTGGTCAAACCAGTGTGAGAAGAGCTTGGCAAAATGTCAGAAGCAGTGAACAAAAACCCCATGGTCAATGGCAAGAATCAACAGAAGCTGTTGAGCTTGAAAACTTCAGGTAAAACAAAAAAACCTACCATGGTGACAATGTTTTATCTCTGAACACCTTTAACCATGGCTTGCTGAGGTATTGAAAGGATTTATATTCATAGTTATGTCTGTTACTTTTACTTTCGTGTTAATCCACTGAGATATGAATTCTATATTTTTCACTTTCTGAATCTAACTGTGAATGTTCCTGCCTTTCTAAGTTTCAAACACATGCTCCCACTCAGCAGAGCGTGCTGTTGAGAGTTAATATAGTAAATTTAAATAAAGTAATGGTTTCTTCTATTATGCTATTGTAATAGTCTCAAATTATGCATGAAATAGGCTGTTCTTCCATACTGTTAAATGTCGGGAAGCCTGAAATTTTATTATTCCATACTAACTGCAGATATGACATTGCTTAATTTTTCTTGCTTATGTTAAGTTTTGGCAATCTAAAATCATCTTGTGGCAAGATAATTTGTAATTCTGTATTTTGTGTTTTTTTTCCTCATTAGTGTGACCTACAAGAATGAGAGGAATTTTAGCAAACATCCCAAACACAAGTTGTTTCAAGAGATTTTTACAGCTCTAATTAAGAACAGGCTTTCCTGCAGGTCAGTCTATTGAAAACATTCATATCCAAGGTTGGTCATTCCTTCTTGCCTTAAGTTAAGAACCAAGATGCGTGGATAATATTCCTTATTGTTTCAACAATACGTACAGCATATATGTTTCAACCATAGACCTCCGTGTGGAAACTACCAACTTCACACCTCTGCATAATCTCAGTTTTAAGCAATCCCTTCTGTATTGGCTCTGAAGATCAAATGCCAGAGTTAGTGGGATGGAAGAAGGAAGAACGGGCTATATGACGAAACCTGAATGACCAGAATTCTAACAGCTGCTGTGTTTCTTTGATAATTTGTCCATGTCTGGTATCTATAATCTATTATCTGCTTTTCTAATTTCATTTTTATTTTAGTGATTCTATTTGTATTTTATGGACTGCTGCTTTTATGTTAGAGGGGTCAGTGGCTTTTATAAAATTCAGATGAGTTTGTGCTACTGTTCTTATTTATTTGAACTGATGTGTATACCAGGATTAAAACCCTTTCTTAAACTGCTCTTATTTGAGCAACAAAATGTGCAAGACCTTAAAAAATTAATGGAGACAGAAAGATATTTTCTGAAAATAAAGAATGTGTTTCTTTTACTGTACACCACTGTAGAGTGTTGTATTTTTCCTTTTTAAAGCCCAAGTACTTTTAAAGAAAAAATCGTAAGTGGTACAGAAACTTAAAGAAGGAATCCTAGAGCATTTAAAGATGTTAATGTGTAACTGCTAGAATTTACAGAACCACCTAAAAATCACAAAAAAAAATAATAAATCACATAGTTTGGTTAGACTCTTTTTCAGAACTAACTAGAGAACTAAGTATCTCATCTTTGATTGTCTAAATAGCATGAGTTTAAGACAGATCATTTAAGTTATTTGTAGATCGAACCTTTTCGGTGGGTATCCGCTCAATCTGGTACTTCTTTTTTGCAAGTGAACTTTATCATCTCAGTACCCACCAGGGAATGTCAGTGGCTCAACATCATTTGCCAAAAATCTAAGAATAACTTAATGATGTGTCTTCCCAAGTTCTATTTATACATTATGGCATACCTAGCTCATACTTTAGTTTTTGTTTTCTTCGGCACTTGTTCATGATGATGTAGCAAAACCAGCCTCTTTCATTAAAAATGAGAGCACCCAGGTAAGGTTAATAAAGTAAACATATATTGGTAGGTATGTAAACCCTATAAGATAAGTACAGTTACAATGGTGATTTGTAAATATTTGGTAAGTATTTTAATTTACAATTTGTAAATATTTTACTATGACTGCGATGACTTCCTCTTTTTGGAACTACTGCTGTTGCATTGTGTCAAAACCTTAGAAACTTGCACCTCGATTTGCATTAGATACTTCTGCTGGCATAACTGTGTTAGTTGAGGTGCAAGAAAAAAATCACATCTGCTTGCTGGGATCACTGTGTCAGCAGAAGTCCTGGTTGGAGGTAGTTCTGTTGACAAGAAAGGTGTGATCACCTTAGCTTAAGTAGTTTTGGTAAGGAGGATAACTAAGCAGGCGGAAGAATCCTGCTGGCCTATGCTGGATCTAAGCTAGGACATGTAGAAAGCTCTCAAACGTTAACCAGGCTCAGAGAATTACTGTCCCTGCTTGGAAATGTGCGAAATGTGTTGCTCTGTTAAAGAAACTAATTTCTGTCAAGAGTCAAAGCTTTTTGAAAGAATAATTTTGTATAACCAGTGTAGTAATGATTTTCAAGCCACATACGATTTTTGACCTACAAATTTTTTCTGCACGTATAAGGTTACTGTTTTGTTCAAGTAAAAGTTTTGTGCTGAAGTGGCCAGTTATGGAATCGTAATGAAAAATAGTATTACTTTGAGGAGAATAATGGCAGAGATGGGCTAAGATTTTCTTAGTCTCTGTTTGTAAGACATTTATTGAAATATTTTTAGCTGTTGGCATTGCTCCCAACTGCAAATGATAAAAAGAGAACTACCGCGTCCCACAGACTTCTTCAGTTCCTTGGAAACTTGCCCAGATACTATAGATTCCATCCTTGCAGTTAAAACAGCAACAGAAAACTCCACTGTAAAATGTTCAATTTTAGGTTTATTTTAAATAGGAAAATGGCAGTATATACTTTCAACAGACAATGGAAACAGTGATGTCATTACTGGCTTTATATGCAGGATTCCTGCCCCTGAATGCTTTGTGCAGTTCTGGGTCGTGTTTTCTGCCAGGTCTTGTGCTGGTGAATGGTATGGAGAAATGCAAAAGAAGAAATTCTATCTGGAAGTATAATCCTTATGAAGAACATTGAAACTAAGTAACAAATTTTTCCAAGGGCTAATAGTATTAGAGTTTATAGAACCTAGTTTAGATTATGGTAATTAAAAAAAATATTTCAGATCTAGCCATTTTTACGTCTTGAGCACCCGTATTTTTGCACAAGTTTATTTATTTTGTGCACTGAAGTTTGATATGTGGATTCTCGGTGATTTTACCCTTTTGGGCCTTGATCCAAACACTTACAGTATGTTTACATCAAAGCATGATCAGTTTGTCCTTAGACATAAGGATGTACTTTCCTGCATCATTTCAGCGAGAGTAAGTGATGACTGGCAGTGTTCATATATGAAATAAATTTATGTAAAGCTCCTACTATGTCCGAATGTAAATGACATTTAAAGTTCTGAAGTATAATATGTTATACAGCTGTTTTTCACTAATCTTCAAGTCAATTGATTGCATCAAAATGTTTTAAGTGTTTTAACACTTTTTAAATTGTATTTGGTTTATGTTTTGAACATTTCTTTTTCAGGGAGTGGGTTAATCAAGCTCCATCCATCCATTTTCTTCGAGTATTAATCTGCCTGAGATTATTTATAAGGGATCCATGGTATCAGGTCAGTATGTCAAAATAACGTTTCTTGGTTGGATAAGAGAAAGCATGCGTATAAAAACGTGCATTCATATGGGTGCATACTTACTGCATGCATGTATTTACATTTCTAGATGTGAAGATGTGATTTGCAAACAGGTTCCAAGAGGGAATTTGCACTGTTACTGCATAACTTGCTAAAGTTCTGATATTTCTTATGTAGTGTCTGTGTTGCTAACCCTAGCAAAGAACCTCTAAGTCTCCATAACAGCTGGCTTGGTGGCTTGGTCATTTCTCTGAGCCCTAGACTCCGTACTTGACTTTACCATATAGGTAGGTAAAATTCCTATAATGTAGTAAGTAAAGAAAACTGAAAACTTCTTCCTTCTAGCAGCCTAATGCTCTGAACTACAAACGATTAGCTGTTAAGAGTTGTTATTCAGAGGACTAAGCCTCAGACTTCTGTTAGGATATTTGTTCTTGTCTGTTTCTCTTCTATGTGTTCCAAAGCTTATAGTTTTTTTCCAGTTTCAGAATCTTCAAAATTTCACCTCTCTGATTTCATTTATCTACTTATTACAAGTAACCCTAAACTCTGACGGTGCTAAGCATCTCCAGAATCCATTGATTTCAACCACTGGACTTAAAGTTTCTGAACATTCATGACATACAGAGCATTTATATTCTAGTGTTCTTTCTGGTATTTTCTCTATTTTCATTCAAATTTTTTTTTTTTTTTTTAAATTTCCTTTTAGGAAATGCTGCATTGCTTGCGTGGCATTGAAAATCTAGCTCAGGTACAATTCCTTACAGTACCTTTGTCCATTATCTTGCATGCCAGTTTTTTATTAGAATGAAATACACTGTAAATAACAGTGTACATATATTTCTGGTTTCTGGGAAGAAACGAGTCTGTTCCTCCTTGAACATAAGCAGTTGGCTTGGGTTTTTTTCACTGATGTCCAAAGCAGTTATCCTTATTATCTATCGGCACTAGCCCAGGACTTTTAGTTAGGAGGCTTAATGAAGTGGAAGAAGAATTAGAAAAGTCAGCACAATTGGTTCAGTCAAAAGAAACCATAGACTGTTGAAAGAAAATGATTAAAGTAATCTTGAACTGCAGCAAATGACTTTTCAAAGGTAGAAGCATAGTAACAGAACATTGAACAGCTTCAGATTCAGGGACTACAGTACTTCTGCCTTACAAAACGTTATTGATAACTGACTCCTGTATTGTTATTGCTCTGTGTTAATATTGCTTTGGTCCTGGGTTTTAATACTTGTTTGTCAGTGCAAATTTAGCAGTGAGATATGGCATGTCTTGAATATCTTTGAAATTGTTGGGAGTTTTCTTTCTAGAAAAACAATCAGAGTTTTTATAACAAATGTATCTTTCTAGAATGCAGTCATTGTTAATCAATATTTGTGGAGCCACCTGCATTTCAAAGAACTAACTGTGTACACTGAGTCTGTTGGTCCCATAGTTGCCTGTTTGGAACGTCCATAAAATTGCAGGAAGTAAAGATTATTAGTTTCTAATAGATGTGGTTCCCACAGGGAGCTGCTTGGCATTTTCCCATATTGCATGTCATTAATGCTTAGCTGTACTTTTTGAGGAGCTTGCAGAGTGCAAAGTGCAATGGCCTGATGAGATGTTGGCAACATCTGCAAACGGAATCCTCAGCAGGAGGAATCCAAAATGTGTAACTGATAACCATTTTTACTCTGCGAATGTTGCTGGTGTAGAGAGCTCAAAAAGTTGTGAGATCCAATTTTTCTGGGGAACTTAATCTTTTGTGCCTTTGCAGTTGAGATAAAATTTTAAATGGGTTTCCAAGACTGTGAAATACAGTTTGAAAAAGTTGTAGCTGAGACTTTCAAAAATCCCTCAAAAATTTGAAAGGTGGCAATAATTTCAAGGTGAATTGCTGTTACGTGAAACAGATACACCACCTACAGGCTGTTTCTGTGCATAGCATGCTAGGCTCTTAATATTTTCTTATATTTTTAATGGTATCCTTTATTTTCCCCTCCAACTTGTAGTATATGGAAACAATAGCAAATGTCTATCTTGATTATGGAGAAGAGCAGCATAATGTAGACCAGTTGGTCAACATGACATGTAAGTGTTATAGCTGATAACATAAATTATAAGGGCACTTCCAATGGTTTTTTTTGTGTGAAACTTAATGTTTAAATAATTGAGATGGTCATAAAGTAAGATATTACTAGATAGGCATCATCAAAAAAGTAAAAAAAAAAAGAAATTGCTGTGGGAAAGCGTATCTTGGTTTTGCACCTAAGTAATGTTTCTTTAAGAAATTAATACCTCTTTGTGCTGAAATAGCAGAGTAAAATGAGCTAGTTGTGCTTTAAAGAACTTATCAAGTGTTTTGCTTTATTATCTGATTAATAAAATGAAAAATATGAAGTGGTAAATCTTGAATTTATATGGCTTTGTTTGTTCCATAGACATTTTCCAGAAGCTTGCTGCTGTTAAAGATCAAAGAAAATGGGTTATAGCAAGTGGAGCACATAAAGTAAGTGCTTTATAAAATTGCCAATTGTAACGAGTTAGCTACTTAGCTGAATGACTTATGCTTTTCAGATTTGATCTAGGTGGAAGTAAATTCCCTTGCCTTGTCAAGCTTGTAAAGTAAGGTAATCTCAGTTCTGTGTTTTGCAGATATATTAGTAGCATCATTAAAATTATTTCTTGTATATATGTTGATTGGCCTGATGCATGTTTATTGGTTGTTTAAGCTAAATAGGTTTATTCATATAAAAACTAATACTCATGTGTACACTGTCTACATGTTACTATGAGACAATTTTTATGTAATTTTAAAATGTAAGTATATTTTTATGTATATTTTTAATGCAATTTTCCGCTATGATTTTTCACTTATAAAGTAGTCTATGTCTGAATGGAAGAGTGTCAACCTAGACAGCGACAGCCTAGACATCACTTGCTATACTAAGGATCTATACATAAGCATTGCTGAGTTGTGGCCAAACTGAAAAACAGTCGAGATGAAGATCAGTATAACTACTGCTTTGTGATTCTGTTATGCTGCAATAAAACGCTGGTAGTTGTGATCACATATTTTTAGAGAATCTAGACAAATAGGAAGTTTGTTGTGATATAAATCATTAACAGAACATGTATGGGGCCTTAAACTGCATACTGCATTGTTGAAATATGAGTTGAAGATTAACTTTTTGCTTCAGAGGGCCTTGATTTAGAGTTCTGAAGTGTTTTACACAGGAACAGATTTTTACAAGTTGGACAGATGCTTTAGCGGTCAAGAGAGGTGCTAACTGCAGTTTGAGAAGAAACATCCTTGCTTGTCCTAAGACTGGGTCTATTCTAAGACTTGAGCCTTATATTTAAGTGTGCTTACAGTGTACTTTAAACGCACCTAAGACATTTAGTGAATTGTGTAAGAATTTAGTATCTTAATTTTCATTTTCAACAAATAATTCTTCATGTGTTTGAATTGTAAGAAAAAATAATATAGTTTATTTATCTTTTCTCATGTTTCATTTTCTAGACCTTAGTACATCTGTTATCTGCCAGAGACAGCAGTGTGCTTTTGCGTTCCCTCCTTGCTCTGACTAGCTTAGCAGAAAGGTAGGTTCAACTTAATATGCTGGAGTTGTCACATTTGAATGTTATCTTTTGATATTAAAATTGCTGTTTATAAGGAAGACGACTTCTTTTTCAAAATGAGGCCTTGTTCCGTGGACATCTATGAGGTTTTATACTGAAGCAGCAGAAACTATATAGAAACTTTGCTCCTTGGAGCAGACTTCTTGCTCATGTGGAGGAATTTGCAAGTCTCTTTTCGGGATTCTGAAATTCTAACTGACTTCCTGTGTATAAAAATCTTTTGCTGAGCTTAATACAGCAGTGCCTCACAATAACCAGCAAGAATGTCGTTCAGTGTAGTAAATAGTGAGTGTGTACAATTCAAATCCATGTACATGTATCCTTTCTTCATTGATGTCTGTTTTAAACAAAGAGAAGACGGGCTTGGTTTTTTTTTTCTGGTGTGGAGGGAAAAAAAAGGAAGAGGAAGATACAGCATCTTTCATCCTTAAGAGTTCTATAGAAGAAAACCTGCTGCTTCTACATTATTGTTCTGGTGACTTCTAGACTTATATACAAGTTTTATCTTAAACAAAAAATCATAAGGAAAATTACAAAACTGAAGAGAATGGATACAGTCCTTTGAGATTAGTAGAAATTTAGTTACTAAGATTTTTGTGGATTTTCTCTTTTCCCAAATTTATTTCATTCTATTTCAGTTTATATTTTTTTAATATCACTATTAATTTAAATAATACTATACGTACATTTTCGACTATACATACATTTAAGTTTCTTCACAAATTTAAATATGTTCTATTTGGACTTAACAATAAAGCATTTGGAGTATATTACAAATATTAATGGAAATTGTAGTTGATTCTAAAACTGTGCCTCATCTGGTTAATTTCTAGTATGAAACAAATTAAATGTTTATATCTTTGTATTCACACTTACTTTTTCTGTACTGGGAAAATCAGAAATTGTTGCACTGTCACTCTTGACCCAGTGTATCTTTTTTTGTGCCTATAAATATTTATATGAACAATATGATATTATTACTTGAGATTTGAGAAAAAAATAATTGATGAAGTGTATAAAGAGGGAGGCTAAAGAGCAATGTGTTTTTTTCATATAATTGAATTTGATATAAATACCAGGAATAATCAATTTGTAGTCCAGAATGTAGGGAGAAGATAAGTGAGCTCACCATTGTTGCGAACTTGCTGGTGATATTACATGAATACGATTTGCTTTCTAAAAGGTGAGACTTTGCTTGTAGATTAATTGTGTTAAAATATATTTTGACTTTTTCATTTAGAGGCATGTTTATTTAGAGAATTTAAATAATGTGCTACTTAAAAATAATAAAGTTCTCACACCTGTGTGTTTTCAGCCCAGATATTGGTACAACAAAATATTCTCTCCACTGATGGTCTGAAGTGCAAATAGATTGCAGTATTACCACAAAGTGACAGCAATTGCTTTCCTTGGTGCATCTCCTCTTTGCTCCTGGAGAACTGAAGTGCTTAGATGGAAAGAACACGGAACTCTGACAGTTCCTGGGATGCCCAATATAAACTAGTAAAAAATTGCAAGATGTATAGCCTTGTGCTAGGGGGCTGGTTAGCTCAGTGGGTTGAGCGCGATGCTGACCACAATGACAACACCGAGGTTGTGATTCCCACTCAGTCCCCATGAGTTGCCTGGTCTAGTCAAGAGGTGGCATCCCTGCCCATGACAGGGAGGTTGGATTAAATGATCTCTGAGATCCCTTCCAACCTAGGCCATTCTATGATTCTATGCCAGATCTCACATCACTTCAATCAGAAAATCATAAAGTTTCCTTCAGTCTTCTAAACATAATTTCATCTCAACTAAGACTGCTGGCAGAGCATAATGTTATCTGCATTTCGGTAAGAAAACAGAAGACTCTCAAATTTGATACTATGTCTCTTATCCTATCACATTTAAAACCCGAGGACATTTTTTAAAATTTCATGCTTAGTTATTTTACCCAGGTAAATTATTTTACATGTGACTGAAGATGATGAAATTGAATATACCAAAAGATTTTATTTAGTTTCTGGGTCTAAAATGATTTATATTATACATAAACCAAAATTTGAATGTAGACAAGAAGCTGATGAAGGTCAATGCTAGCTAAAAATAATTTAAATTTCAGATGTGAGTTTGAATTCGTGCTTCATCAAACACACATACAGCGTTTTTGCTTCAACAGGAAATGGAAACCCCAAACTGTCTTTTCTATGGAAAGTCTACCTTAATTGGAGTGAAGTTAGTGCAGATTATATCTCCAATCCCTTTTCTAAACATAAAATTCAAACCATACTGGAGAAGAATCACAATCATTTGAGAAATTATTTTAATTCCACAGATGGACTTTACAAGTTCATGTAGTCAGTGCTACTTGTAGTACTAAAGCCATTAGTGAGAAGGTGGTACCACAGGTGACTGCAGTCTCCCTGGCCACCTCTCTCCTGGCTGGGTGTGCTTGGCTGCTTGTGCTGACAGTCAGAATCAATGTAAATGTGATTTCATCCCTTGTGAAAATTTGCACCTCCTTTTTATTATTATTAAACAGTGACTTTAAGCAGGATTTTTTAATTTCTTTTTTTTTTTAATAGGTCTCTGTTCTTTCTGAAACATTTACTGTAGTATGGGTTTTTTTTTCCCTTTGCTTACTGATGATGCAGAGTAATGATGGAGTTGTTCTTAAAATCTCTTGCTGGTTTTTTTTTAGACTCACAGCAGAGTTGCTGCGTCTCCTCTGTGCAGAATCACCAGTCAAAGAGCAAGTAAAAATGTATGAAGGAGTTCCAGTCTTGCTCAGTTTACTCCATTCTGATCATATCAAACTTCTCTGGAGTGTAGTTTGGATTCTGGTCCAGGTTTGTGAAGATCCTGAGACTAGTGTGGAAATCCGGATTTGGGGTGGAATAAAGCAGCTCCTTCACATACTGCAGGGGTAGGTTTTCAGTCCTTAACATTATGAAGATTATATGAGACTCTTTCGTATTTTAAGATATAGTTGACCAAGCTCTGTTTTATCAAATTACATCTTTGTTATGTTCAGCTGTATGTGATGACTGCAGAAATTAAAAGGTTATTTAAAATCATTACTGAATAAGCAGTATTTGTAGCTATACGTATTTCATTGTTATTTTAAGGTGTTTTTGTATTTTCAGTGTATAAAGTAAATAATAGATTATGTCATTACTGTCAACTTCTATAGTTTTTATATTAATCAGGCACCTATTTAGTTGAGCTCGAATTGTGAATGTACTTGATGAATGTGGTAAAGGAATTTTGTGTTTAAAGGCTTGTTTGCTTTTTCAAAGTGTATTAGCTAATTTAGTGAAAAACATACAAATTTTCAGAACTTCAGAAATTATTAACAAAGATATGTTAAGCCATTTTTTTACAGAACTCAGCAAAATGATTTTTTTTTTTCTTCAGGGAAAGAAATCTTGTTTCTGATCGCTCTTCGGTTGGAAGTTTATCTAGTGCGAATGCAGCAGGAAGGATCCACCTTCATTTGTCAGATGATTTGGGTCCTGATGAGATGCAAGAAAATACTTTGTCACTTCAAGCAGGTGGGTTTATAAACCTAATCCTCTGTGTTTACTTACACATGTGCGAAGGGATTAAAAATATTTCAAAAATTGAAACTAGACTTTTATACCTGCTTTAGGAAGTAGGAGCATCAAGTCACCTATGTTTATTTCTAAATGTGCAATACCAGCACGTATTTTCAAGAAGCATACTTTTTTAGGAAGAAGCAAAGGATGGAGTACTAAGTACATGGGAGTCATATATATATCTTCCACCTTTAAAAATATCT